CAACTAAAAAAATAAGAACAAAGAACAAATTGAATTGGGCATATGGGTCTTCATTTTTTCTGTGTCAAACTTCAAGTCTTCATTCAAAACTATCATCTTATCACTGAAATCATGTCTTTATACAACAAAAAGCCCCAAAACCCCCAAAAATTTACCTCGTTGATAACTGCCTACCTGCGGCTGAGATCCAGAGGCATAGGAGACGAAGCCGGAGAGGAGGGAGAATGTAGAACCCCGTAATTTTTATATGAATATATGTGAATTATTAGTAAATAAATAATTCTTTTATGATAAATAGCTTGAGGTCATTGAAGTGCATGATAACAAATTATTTGAGATGATATGAGAGTATGGGTGTAGAGTTTTGTGCGTTGGTTATGCAAATTAGCAAAACATGCACAAAACTAAATTTTTCCAGATCAGTCAACACATCAGTCGACTGACTGTATCGGTCGACACATCAGTCGACTGATACGCTGATTTCCAGTTTATACAGGTTTCGGGTCTGTTTTGATTTGGTTCGGGTTTGGGTCGGGTTTAGCTGTTCATATATATTATCTTTCACCCGAAATCATCCCCTCTCATCTTCAGATCAGAGAAAACCCTAGCCCCTCTCCCCTATCTAAAACCCTAGTTTTGCTCTTGGTGATTTGGGGGAAGAACTTGGAGGATTTTCGTCGAAATCTTCTCATTGCAGCAAAGGGGATCCACTCTCTCTCTCTCAGATCCAGGAGTTGTTCATCACCCAGAGGCGAGTAACATCTCGCCCAACTTTGTCCTATTTTTCTAAATGTTTTCAAAGGGTTTTTATGAGTTTTGATGAGCCAAAAATGTAATTTTTGTACAAAGAATTGATTTTTATAGCATATAGTGGGAAGATGTGTGATTTCAGAATATTAAAAACCCACCAACATTTTGTGAATCAAAGATCTAGATCTGAAATGTTTTTATAAGAGATTTAACATGAGTTTTGTTTTAAAAATGTTTTAAAACATAAATACACATGTTTAGGGTTTTGTTTATGTATTCACACATGGGATTTTTGTTTCAGTTTAGTTCGTACATGTTAATATCAGTATTTTCATGCTTGGGATTGATGGGGATAAGTTTAGATCGAATTTTGTGTAAATAACAACCTGTGCAGAGTTTCTGCAGTCTATCGGTCGACTGATCAGTCGACCGACGGGCAAATTTTCAGTCATCAGTCGACTGATCAGTCGACTGACGGGCTGATTGTGTTTTCTCAGCTTCTCAGTCGACTGATCAGTCGACTGGTGAGCTGAGGCTGTGCTGCCTGAGCCTTATCGGTCGACATATGAGTCGACTGACGTCATCAGTCGACACATCAGTTGACTGATGAGATGTTTTACAGATTCTTGATCTGTTTAAGTTGCTTTTCGGGGTCGCCTCGATAACCTGACCCTAGCTTATCATGTTAAGGATTTATCTGTACATGGGGATTTACTTTTGACACAAGTTTAGACATGTACACCGAGATGCGGGCGAGTTTAGATTATGTATATCTGTCCGCATATACTTTTCACAGTTACACAGTCCTCGTGTTAGACTATAATCCATAGAAGTCCTCGTGTTGGACTATAATCCATTTCAGTCCTCGTGTTGGACATTTGCCACTTATTCCATGTGTTTGGAAACCACGGTATCTAGTCTCTGTATCGGACATACTTTCTTAACCCTGTATATGACTTTCATACAGGAGTTTATGACATGACACTTATGTAGATTATAACATGTCATACATGTAAGTAATAACATGATGCTCATGTAAGCTATGACATGGCACTGTATTTATGCTCTGAGAATAGTTGTATTTCTTTTATTATTGTTTCCTGTACTAGAACCTCGGGTTTAGTGTTTAGGGATTTATAATTTGAGATACAAGGTATATACATGAGGGTTTCCTTGTTTGGATTATTTCGCTCGACCTACCTATGCTCGTGTTGTAAACTTCTAACCGGAGAGTCGCGGGTTGATGGCGACACACTTTAGTGTTCAACTGTCTATTTTAGCTATGATTTATTTTGGAGCTCCACTGTAGATTTGTTTGACATTTGAGGACTATTCTCTAGATGTTGTAAATGTTGTATGCCTTATTTCCTTTACTCAGATATTTGTACTTGAGACTTGTTGAGTATTCCAGTTATCCATTCAGACATTGGCTATGTATTTCTGTATGTTGGATGATGAGATATTTATGTGATCACTATCACTTCATCAGTTATTTCTTGCACTATCTTTTACTTGCTTTTGTACCTACACCTATTGTTGACTCTGCTAGATAAATGTTAATTGTGATGGTGAAACATGTTATTGCACGGTGAGGTGCAAGGCAGGTTTGACATTCTTGGTTTCACCTTGGACTGCAGCCTTGTGTGAACTCAGGGGCGTCACAAAGACGAGCAGGGAGAGCAGGCCGATCCGCTCGTGGAGGAGGACGAACGTGCCGAAGTAGACGAGCTACTACATCAGCTTAGAGAAGTCGATCCTCAACCTCTTGACGGAGGTGCGGCGCCGCGACGGAAGAGGCGGAGGAGGGCGGCATGGGAGTCGAGGAGGGAGGCGGCGGCGGAGCGGAGGAGGGCGAAGGGGAATGCGAGGAGGGTGGGGAGGAGGCCGAGGCGGAGGGGGCAGCCTCAGAAGGAGACGAGGACGGCGTGGAGCTCACAGAGGGGCACAGAGCAGAGGAGGACCCACTGGATGCCAGATAATTGTGATGGCAGATCACTACTCCATGGGTTAAGAGGAAGATTTCCTGGGTGAGAGACATGGACATTTTTGGTAGATTACGGAAAATACACGGAGTACATGTATAAAGGTGAGCTTTTGGGGCTAAAGAGTAAGAGAAAAACATTGGAGGGCTGGCTCACATTCACTTTATTTTTGGGGGACCTTGACACATTTTCCCCTAATTTTAAATAAGTCCTCTGCATCTCATATATTTTAACCAAGTCCCTAGATGGCTAGATCCATATGTATTCTTAAATAAGTCCCATTTAAATATGTTTCCCTAAAATCTACAAGTTCTCTTAAAAAAAACTCTTCAAGTAAAATTATTAATTTAACTTTACATAAACTAAATCACATTAATATTACTAGATTATCCCTCATTTCCGTAGATAATTAGACCTAATACGTATAACATAGTGCGATAAAGACTTCTCAACAAATAACTAAGGAAAGAAAATAACTGAGATTTAAAGTATATGAGATTTGGGCGAATTATCTATAAAATAATTGACAGACTAGTATAAGAAAAATCTTTTTTTTTAAATGATGAGTGATAATTAGATTATAAAGATGATACTATTATTTACCGTGAGGCACAAAAGCATGGTGTTGTTTCTGGAGACTTGCCATGTTTATATTGTAGTATAAAAACAGTGCATTTTTTTTGTAGTCTAGTTAGCATTTTACTCTTTTATTTCCTCAAAATTTGGTATTTTTAATGCATGAAATGGTTCATTTGGTATGCCTGGCATTTTTCGTGGTGGGATCTCCATTGCAGCATTTTTAAAAAAAGGGATCTTGGACAAAGAGAGGCATCATGAATTGGTAACAAGCTACTCCACAAGTTATATTTATCCTGGAATTTTAAATTCATGCTAAATTATCTTATCAAATCGATATTTTAATTTAACTTTATTTTTTAATATGATATTTATTTCTGCTCCGATGTTAATATGGTCTATTAACTTTTGTTCCGATAACAATAAAACCTTTATTTCTCGCCAATGGCAAGAATATCAGCGAACTGTATTCTTTTTGGGAAAATTTCTATCATTCCCCTCACTTGTCAAATTTATTAAATATACACCCTCTTTCTCCTT